CACTGATCAGTCATGGGGCTGTCGGTGGAGCAGACACTGATCGGTCCTGAAGCTGTCGGTGGAGTAGACACTGATCGGTCATGGAGCTGTCGGTGGAGCAGACACTGATCGGTCCTGAAGCTGTCGGTGAAGCAGACACTGATCGGTCATGGGGCTGTCGGTGGAGCAGACACTGATCGGTCCTGAAGCTGTCGGTGGAGCAGACACTGATCGGTCCTGAAGCTGTCGGTGGAGCAGACTCTGATCGGTCCTGAAGCTGTCGGTGGAGCAGACTCTGATCGGTCCTGGGGCAGACGGTGGAACAGACACTGATCGGTCCTGAAGCTGTCGGTGGAGCAGACACTGGTCGGTCCTGGGGCTGTCGGTGGAGCAGACACTGATCGGTCATGGGGCTGTAGGTGGAGCAGACACTGATCGGTCATGGAGCTGTCGGTGGAGCAGACACTGGTCGGTCCTGGGGCTGTCGGTGGAGCAGACACTGGTCGGTCCTGGGGCTGTCGGTGGAGCAGACACTGGTCGGTCCTGAAGCTGTCGGTGGAGCAGACACTGGTCGGTCCTGGGGCTGTCGGTGGAGCACACACTGATCGGTCCTGGGGTTGTCGGTAGACCAGACACTGATCGGTCATGGGGCTGTCGGTGGAGCAGACTCTGATCGGTCCTGAAGCTGTCGGTGGAGCAGACACTGATCGGTCCTGGGGCTGTCGGTGGAGCAGACACTGATCGGTCCTGGGGCTGTCGGTGGAGCAGACACTGATCGGTCCTGGGGCTGTCGGTGGAGCAGACACTGATCGGTCCTGGGGCTGTCGGTGGAGCAGACACTGATCGGTCCTGGGGCTGTCGGTGGAGCAGACACTGATCGGGCCTGGGGCTGTCAGTAGAGCAGACACTGGTCGGTTCTCGGGCTGTCGGTTGAGCAGACACTGGTCGATCCTGGGGCTGTCGGTGGAGCAGACACTGGTCGGTCCTGGGGCTGTCGGTGGAGCAGACACTGGTCGGTCCTGGGGCTGTCGGTGGAGGAGACACTGGTCGGTCCTGGGGCTGTCGGTGGAGCAGACACTGGTCGGTCCTGGGGCTGTCGGTGGAGCAGACACTGGTCGGTCCTGGGGCTGTCGGTGGAGCAGGCACTGGTCGGGCCTGAAGCTGTCGGTGGAGCAGACACTGGTCGGTCCTGAAGCTGTCGGTGGAGCAGACACTGGTCGGTCCTGGGGCTGTCGGTGGAGCAGACACTGGTCGGTCCTGGGGCTGTCGGTGGAGCAGACACTGGTCGGTCCTGGGGCTGTCGGTGGAGCAGACACTGGTCGGTCCTGGGGCTGTCGGTGGAGCAGACACTGATCGGTTGGGGCTGTCGGTGGAGCAGACACTGGTCGGTCATGGGGCTGTCGGTGGAGCAGACACTGGTCGGTCCTGGGGCTGTCGGTGGAGCAGACGCTGGTCGGTCCTGGGGCTGTCAGTAGAGCAGACACTGGTCGGTTCTCGGGCTGTCGGTGGAGCAGACACTGGTCGGTCCTGGGGCTGTCGGTGGATCAGACACTGATCGGTCATGGGGCTGTCAGTGGAGCAGACACTGGTCGGTTCTCGGGCTGTCAGTAGAGCAGACACTGGTCGGTTCTCGGGCTGTCGGTGGATCAGACACTGATCGGTCATGGGTCTGTCAGTGGAGCAGACACTGGTCGGTCCTGGGGCTGTCGGTGGAGCAGACACTGGTCGGTCCTGGGGCTGTCGGTGGAGCAGACACTGGTCGGTCCTGGGGCTGTCGGTGGAGCAGACACTGGTCGGTCCTGGGGCTGTCGGTGGAGCAGACACTGGTCGGTCCTGGGGCTGTCGGTGGAGCAGACACTGGTCGGTCATGGGGCTGTCGGTGGAGCAGACACTGGTCGGTCCTGGGGCTGTCGGTGGAGCAGACACTGGTCGGTCCTGGGGCTGTCGGTGGAGCAGACACTCGTCGGTCCTGGGGCTGTCGGTGGAGCAGACACTGGTCGGTCCTGGGGCTGTCGGTGGAGCAGACACTGGTCGGTCCTGGGGCTGTCGGTGGAGCAGACACTGGTCGGTCCTGGGGCTGTCGGTGGAGCAGACACTGGTCGGTCCTGGGGCTGTCGGTGGAGCAGACACTGGTCGGTCCTGGGGCTGTCGGTGGAGCAGACACTGGTCGGTCCTGGGGCTGTCGGTGGAGCAGACACTGGTCGGTCCTGGGGCTGTCGGTGGAGCAGACACTGGTCGGTCCTGGTGCTGTCGGTGGAGCAGACACTGGTCGGTCCTGGGGCTGTCGGTGGAGCAGACTGGAGGGGGACTGTGCCATTCCAAGGGGTTATCTTGAGATGATTTCGGGGCTTAGCGCCCCCGCGGCCCGGTCCTCGACCAGGCCTCCTTTTTGTTATACACCCCCAGGAAGCAGACCATAGCAGCTGTCTAACTCCCAGGTTCCTATTTACTGCTAGGTGATCAGGGCCATCAGAGTGAATGAAACTCTGCCCATTTGTTTCCGCCTCCACCGTAAATCGAACCCGGAACCTCAGGATTACGAATGCCGAGCGCTCTCCACTCAGCCGTCAGGCCCACTTAGCTCTCAAGGTTTGAGAGTCAAATTTCCTAATGAACACAATTTTCTTTGATGGCATAAATAAGTATGCCTGTCAGGGCGCCTGACAGCTGGGTGGACAGCGCTTCGGATTCGTAGTCCTGAGGTTCCGGGTTCGATCCCCGGTGGAGGCGGAGACAAATGGGCAAAATGTTTGTTTCACCCTGATGTCCCTTTTACCTAGCGGTAAATAGGTACCTGGGAGTTAGGGGTGCTTCCTGGGGGTGGAGGCCTGGTCGAGGACCGGGCCACGGGGACACTAAGCCCCGAAATCATCTCAAGATAGCATGTATGATAGCATGTCATCTATTAGCACTCTTAGTGCCGATAGACGATGTGGCTAAAGTTGAAGCTAATTTGTTATGTCAGTTAATTTGTTCACAAAGTCGATGTTGTTCGTTATACTGGGGTTGAAACTGTCGGTATTAGAGGAGACCAAAATCGTACCAGCTATTTAGACAATTTGTCTCCAACCGCCGCCACGATGGGTTATCTTCTTGAGATGTTATCTTGAGGTGATTTCGGGGCTTTTTAGTGTCCCCGCGGCCCGGTCCTCGACCAGGCCTCCACCCACAGGAAGCAGCCCGTGACAGCTGGCTAACACCCAGGTACCTATTTTACTGCTAGGTAACAGGGGCATAGGGTGAAAGAAACTCTGCCCATTGTTTCTTGCCGGCGCCTGGGATCGAACCCAGGACCACAGGATCACAAGTACAGTGTGCTGTCCGCTCGGCCGACCGGCTCCCTTTGGGTTGATGATTGGGTTGATGATTGATCTTGAGAGATTATTGGTTGATGGGGCTTGATGAGTCCATACATGTATCGTAACGCTGGAGCCTGACTTTTAAATTTGTTAATAATGTCCATATCTTTAATACAAATTTTAAGGGCTTTGTTAAATTGAGTAATAACCTTAACTACTACATCTTTATTAATGGTTAAATAAGTATGCCTCTCTTATTTAGCAACTTCCATATTATTGACTTAGTCATTTTGTTATATATGACAACAACATTGGCTTTATCCGTCTTGGAAATGTGTAAATGAGCTTTGGAGAGTTCATTTTTCCACCTCCTTTTCAGGTGAAGAAAAACATTATGAGTATCGAGAAGATTCATGCTGGAAGCATTGATCTCACCGTTTCCATCATAGTCAATAAATTTTCTGTAGACAGAACGCAAAGAGTGACAGTTAGTGAAATAAAATCGAGTCCAAGCGCGGTTAAAAGCTCTGTACCACAAGGTACAGTCCTTGCACCACTGCTGTTCCTTATTTCCATATCAGATATAGATAAAAGTGCAAATCATAGTTTCGTATCATCTTTTGCATATGACACAAAAATCATAACGAAAATTACTTCTGTTGAAATTTAATAACTAAGCAAGCAGATATTAATAAAGTTTTCGACTGGGCAGCAGAAAATAACATGATGTTTAACAGTGATAAATTCCAGGTACTCAGGTACGGCAAAAATGAGAACCTTGAACATAATACAGGGTACAAAACACAATCAAATCTGCCCATAGTAGGAAAGAAGTATGTAAAAGATCTGGGAATAATGATGTCTGACGACCTAACGTTTAGGGAACTTAACCAAAGAAATATAGCATCATGCAGGGAAATGATAGGATGGATTACGAAAACCTTCAAATCCAGGGTTGTCCCGCCTTGAGTACTGCTCAGCACTCACTTCCCCCTTCAGAGCAAGAGAGACTGCTGAAATAGAGGGAATACAGAGAACATATACGGCACGCATAGACGCGATAAAGCACCTAAATTATTGGGATCGTCTCAAAGCTCTCAAAATGTATTCACTAGAAAGGAGACGAGAGACGTATCAAATAATATCACATTTTGTCCAGTGGGGATGAGAGGAAATTATAAATCCGGTGTATTATTTGAGAGGAAAAATGCCCTCTAGCAGATAATAGATGCTCTATAACAGCTGCTACATACCAAGATAAGTGTGCAACCACTGGAAAAAAAATTGTATCAAGAAGCACAGCAAAATCTCTGTAACCAGGCGCCACATCTTGAATTATTACCACTGAATGAAAGCTTAAGAAATGACTACACTATGGACATAATTACCACACAGAATACACCCTAGAGACGCGCCGCGACGCACAACGACACAATGGCATCAGAAGCCAGCGAGACCCGAAGACCAAGCCACCCCAACACTCCCAAGCCCCACAATACGGAAACTCTAACACTACATTTAATCTACAAATGATTATACAACAATACCGATCAGCGAGCAGGAACCTGCCTGACGCGGAGGCGGCCCAGGAAATGGGGGCGTGAAGTCGTACCTGGCTGAGGGCGAGGGCAATGGCCCAGACGGCGTCGTAGGTCTGGGTGACGTACCTGGCTGAGGGCGAGGGCTATTGCCCAGACGGCGTCGTAGGTCTGGGTGACGTACCTGGCTGAGGGCGAGGGCTATGGCCCAGACGGCGTCGTAGGTCTGGGTGACGTACTCCGTCAGCGGCTGACCCGTCCGGGAGAACTCCAGCAGGAACTGTCTGTTGGTCTGTTGAAGGAGACAGCGACGCTTCAGCGGGGACACAGGCGGCATGTGACCTTTTACGGTTTTACATTCAACAATATATACCTAATATTCCTGAATAGCAATATATACTTAATATTCTATACTTAATTCCACAACAGAACAGTTATCTTAATGGGAAGACGAGGCAAAGACCTCACGTGAGTGAGCACACCCACGAGCACACATTGTCGGAAAATCCGACACCATTTAATAATATCATACAGACAGATAATATTGCTGTGTTGTATAAACAAGTTAACCCATAGAAAATGTAACTTGTAGTGGAATTTCCGTCATTCTATCCCTCGTCATTTCCGTCAATTTCTATCCCGTCTATAGAAAACGGGATATCATTACCACATACTATTATAAATTCACCACCTGTTATGGTGGGAATTATTCTTAAATACATTAGTCTTTGGACTTTACCATCATAAAAACATCTCATATAAATTAACTTAATTATCAGAATTAAAATAGAGTAAATGTGACCCTTCTATCACTTACTGTCATCTGGACAATGTAGACCAGTAGCGTAAGGGAGGAGGGAGTGGTCAGCCATTGTTATTGTTAGACCACAGAGTCGTGGAGCAAATTCGGCTCCTATAAATTCTCTTGGACGAAGTGTTATGGAAGATCAGAGTAGTGATCTGCCATCAACACGCTGTCATCAATCTCAAGGGAAGTGTCTTTCCGAAACCCGTTTATCTTTCATTTATGGTCATTAATGTCAGTAGATATTGGGTGACCTGGTTAGATCACAAATGATCGACTCAAACAAGGTAATTAAGCCTAAGTCTTTATGGTTCCTTGTACAGTGTTTTCTCTGATATAGTTGTCATATATTAGGATTCTGGCTTTACAGCTAGCGCCCTTTTGACAGGTCAAGACGAGGAAGCATGCTTTGTGTACCAGTTACTGGGTGATGGAAGCTACCTCAAAGAGGATAATTTGGTGTCTACATCCTGGTTATACCTGGTGGACTAAGGCCTGCTGTACAATAAGATAAGGAACCTCTTCAATGTACTAATGTGTAGTTAATACTGTAGTTTGATTGGCTGCATATATATAAATTTAATATAAACCCCGCCCCCCCGAATGTGTAGAGGATCGATTTGTGAGATTATTGCAGAAATACAGTCCACTTATCATCATACAAATTGCTATCGAAGTATATAAATTAATGTAAATATAAATTCTATATAAATTCTTATAAATTAAATAAATATAAATCTGACAGGTTGGTTCCCACACACGTAAGCACAAGTAAGAGCACATGTGGGTGTGCTCACGTAGGTGCTGGTCGCCCCACCACTGTGTTACTCCCCCCTATACCTTCCCCACCTGCACCCCACATACTCATCTCCCCCCACTCCTCCCCCCTTGGGCTCAACCATACCCCACACTCCGCCCTTCTCCCACAATCCTCATGCCAACCGGAATCCCCCGCCCCCAAGCACTGGTTAAGATACACACACACACACACACACACTAATGCGAGGAGACCAAGAGATGAATAATAGACTTACCAGTCCGGACTCTGAGGCGTTAGTGCCGATGATGGAGCCATGAGCAGTGACGAGGACGACGCCCTGCACGGCCTTCACCAGCTGGGCCCGGGAACAGTTGGTGCCAGCTGTGTCTCTCCACCAGCTGTCCTGCGGAGCCCCAGACAGCACCCAGGCGTAGTCCTCTCCGAACATCCCCAGGTGGAACGCCTGTAACACATAAGGAGAGACAGACGCAGCAGTTAAGAGTCTTCCTTGACATTAAGTTATTGAATGATGAATGGCCTCCTCTGTCTTGCTGGCTGGCCTGCCGGCCTACCAACCTGCCGGCCTACCTGTCTGCTCCGGTGGAGTCGGAACAGTTTTTACATTAACGAACGGGCGGGAAAATCAATATGAAATGAGGGGAGGGAAGCGGAAGAAGATTTACCTGGCAGAAAGGGAGTGTGACCAGTTTCAGAGAAGGTTAAGTACCGGAGTTTCTCCGTGAGTGTGTGAGTGGAGGCTCCAGTCCACTTCGTCCCGTTATGGCGGGCCCCAGTCCTCTGGGTCCCTAGCAATCCAGCTCAGTCAGGCCCCAAATCAATGGGATCCCCAACCCTGAGGGCCCCAGCACTGATGGCTACTTGCATCCACTTGACCATAGTTTTTATTTGTAGTCCAACGCCCTCGGGTCTGTAACTTACATGTCTCAGGTCACACATTATTGGGGATTCCACATTTGTGGCATTTCAGATTCATTGGATTCACTGGATTTCGGAAGGGGGCAAGTAAGAGGGAATTCAGAGTCGTTGGAATGGAATGAAAATTTAATGGTTATATGGACTCAATAACACCTCTAACTGGTCCTAATTACTGATTCATAGCACAAGAGGAAAGAGATACAAAAAATATATACTATGCAAATACTATCGTTTTTTTATAAAAAATGCAGTAAAATTGACGTTCTAACAAATTATATATTTAGTGACTGAAGTATCATAATAACCCTTTATCTTCATTTGCTATTTATAAACTCAAGCAATACATGTTTAGTTTGCCTAACAAAATATTTACATGTCCCCCACCGAAAATCAATGTCGTGAATATTTACCACTAATACCAACGCACGTATTAAAAAACGGTAAAGTTTTATTTGTAGAGCTAGGAACTGTACGTGTAATATGTAGGACTCAAGAGAATCTGATCAAATCTGAAGCCTCCAGTAGAGGTTTTATAAGGTAAAAATGCGACTCCAGATAAGCGAAGGAAAAGATGGCCTCGCTGTGATGCGTCAGCAGAGCAAACACGACTTATATCCCCATTATATGTCATGGGAGTAGCACGTGTAGCCAGTACAGCATTCTCTGAAGTGTAGAGCCTTCCTGTACAACAGTGTCAAGATAAATATATACCTCAGAGGCATAGATAACATGAAGGACAGGCTGTAACCTTGCCAGAGCTGCAGCGCACGACCTACCTACTCCGAGTCTTCTTCAACACTGACGATCGCTCACTGTTTTGTTCTGGCTCCGGGCTCTCTACACATGCCATTGACCACCACATAATTATCTTTTGATTCATAGATTTAATGATTAAACCATATTTAGAACAAATTAGGCATGACCTGGGTTACATGTCCGCTTTGTGACCGTTGTGAAGGGTTATAAACCTATAACTACGGTGTTTTTTATCACAACAACACAGGGTTTTTATGTTAATTCGATCTACAACAACGTGGAAGTATCAGGTGTTGCCAGGGGCAAGAGCTTTCTATAAATAATATGTTACAAATATTCGATTTTTTGTCAATATTTTTATATTTTTTTTGGCCCCTAATTCTTGTATTATTATGATCACAACCAGAGGGCTCGTAGCTAGGAAGTCAACAGTGGTTGTGGGGGATAAGTATTCCTTTTTATGCGATACTTATGCAACCTATCCTCCTACAACCTGTCCTACAACCAGTTCTTCTACAACCTGTCCTCCTGCAACTTGTCCTCCTACAACCTGTCCTCCTACAACCTGTCCTCCTACAACCTGTCCTCCTACAACCTGTCCTCCTACAACCAGTTCTTCTACAACCTGTCCTCCTGCAACCTGTTCTCCTACAACTTGTCCTCCTACAACCTGTCCTCCAACAACCTGTCCTCCTACAACCTGTCCTCCTACAACCTGTCCTCCTACAACCTGTCCTCCTGCAACCTGTCCTCCTACAACCTGTCCTCCTGCAACCAGTCCTCCTACAACCTGTCCTCCAACAACCTGTCCTCCTACAACCTGTCCTCCTGCAACCTGTCCTCCTACAACCTGTCCTCCTGCAACCAGTCCTCCTACAACCTGTCCGCCTACAACCTGTCCGCCTACAACCTGTCCTCCTACAACCTGTCCTCCTGCAACCAGTCCTCCTGCAACCTGTCCTCCTGCAACCTGTCCTCCTACAACCTGTCCTCCTACAACCTGTCCTCCTACAACCAGTCCTCCTACAACCTGTCCTCCTGCAACCTGTTCTCCTACAACCTGTCCTCCTACAACCTGTCCTCCTGTCCTCCTACAACCTGTCCTCCTGCAACCTGTTCTCCTACAACCTGTCCTCCTGTCCTCCTACAACCTGTCCTCCTGCAACCTGTTCTCCTACAACCTGTCCTCCTGTCCTCCTACAACCTGTCCTCCTGCAACCTGTCCTACAACCTGTCCTCCTGCAACCTGTCCTCCTACAACCTGTCCTCCTACATAGAACGTCGCTTTTTGCACGTATGCGTTACATAAAGCCAAACATTTTCGTATTAGAAAATGGAAGCGGCTGGCGAAAGTGACGTACTGTCCCGTTTTCTGTTGTGGCTCCTCTGGTAGGTTAGGATGAGGGCACTTTAGTACGTTAGTTTCTTGACGTTCGTAAACCTTAGGAGGACGGGCTGACCTTTGACCCCTAAGGGGGCTCTGCTTTTGTTTTGGACCCCCCTGATATCTAAGCCATAGAGCTCTAAGCAGCTCTATGTCTATAAGGGCCCTTCCTGCTCTATGGAGAGCCTGATCCAAGGGGCCCTCCTGCTCTATGGAGACCCTGGCCCAAGGGGCCCTTCCTGCTCTATGGAGACCTTGATCCAAGGGGCCCTCCTGCTCTATGGAGACCTTGATCCAAGGAGCCCTCCTGCTCTATGGAGACCCTGATCCAAGGGGCCCTCCTGCTCTATGGAGAGCCTGATCCAAGGGGCCCTTCCTGCTCTATGGAGACCCTGATCCAAGGGGCCCTTCTTGCTCTATGGAGACCCTGATCCAAGGGGCCCTTCCTGCTCTATGGAGAGCCTGACCCAAGGGGCCCTTCCTGCTCTATGGAGACCCTGACCCAATGGGCCCTTCCTGCTCTATGGAGACCCTGACCCAAGGGCCCTTCCTGCTCTATGGAGACCCTGACCCAAGGGGCCCTTCCTGCTCTATGGAGACCCTGATCCAAGGGGCCCTTCCTGCTCTATGGAGAGCCTGATTCAACGGGCCCTTCCTGCTCTATGGAGACCCTGATCCAAGGGGCCCTCCTGCTCTATGGAGAGCGTGATCCAAGGGGCCCTCCTGCTCTATGGAGACCTTGATCCAAGGGGCCCTCCTGCTCTATGGAGACCCTGATCCAAGGGGCCCTTCCTGCTCTATGGAGACCCTGATCCAAGGGGCCCTCCTGCTCTACAGAGCCCCACTTCAGGACCCCAACACAGCTCTAAGTCACACTTTTCAACCTGCAATTCGATACTGGCCGAAGACAACCAATTATGTTCATATTGAGGCGATTTTCACACTGCAGTTGACGGTGATGTCGCCTCTACGGCCCGGGAGTGGAAATTTGTCCGGAGGTCGTGCTCATTGTGAGGGGGGGGAGCCGCGCCCCCTTCTGGGGACTTTAGGGGGGAGGGGGGAAGTGATGGGGGAAGTGATGGGGGGAAGTGATAGGGGGATGGGAGAGGTTATGGGGAGACAGAGAAGGGAAAATGAATTAGTCAACACCGTCCACACACACCAACACCGTCCCGTCACGGAGAGAGTGACGTAAGGGAGGGGGGGGGGGTAAGGATGAAGAGGGGTGAAGTAAGAATGGTAGGAGATAAGGGAGAAGGGGTAATAGATGCACGAAGGTCTGATGATCTTGCATTTCACGCCACTCTTTCAGTAGCAGACTATTGGCCCTTCAAAATGGAAATGAAAAAAATATTGTTTTCTAAGGAAAGGTGTACATGTAAGGAGGCCTTGGGCACATCACCACTCACCCTTATGTGATGACAAAAGTGATCATTAGTGAGATATAATGATCATAATTGATCATAAGTAAGTAATTATCAAAGAAGGCCCCAAGCCAGGGAGATTACTTAACACTATCAGTGTCACTTGATATTCAAAGATGTTAATGTCACCAAGGGTGTCAATATCACCAAGGATGTCAGTACGACAACAGAAGTCCGCATGGAGAGCGTTTCAAAGGTATATGATTCACCAAACATTGCGCTGAGGCACTTCAGGAAAGCAAGGCATATGGTCGTCCTGAGAACTGGGACAATCCACAAGGAAGTGGACGACAGTGAGAGAGACAATGCAGTTTGTATAGTGAGGAGTAGGGCGGCGTTACATTACATGTCACTGAATAATGTGTGTATGGCCAATATGTAACCTAGCCAGAGCCGTTTCCCATTGTCTTTTGCGGTGTTAGGTGGAGAGCCAAGGGGACAAGTTACCTTCAAGTGTGCACAGGTTTGTTACAATAACCTCTGAACAACGACCCTGCCAGCTGCTTTTGGAATGAGGAATGAATTCCTGGGAAGAAGTGTGAATAAGAAACGTCTTTTTAGAGAGTAGATAAGTGTGGCGAGCCTCCTTAGTGGCAGTGTCCGCACGTTCGTGTCAGGTAACACCAATACGGCTCAGAACCCACCGAAACTCTGCTGTCTCTTTATCCGTTTGAGATAACAAACAGCCAATGTCGAATTTCCACAACTACAGGATGCATGGGATTAAATAACTCCAGAGCCATGAGGGCACTGTAGGAGTCGACCACAATGACAGAGGAATGTTGACTTCACAAAAGCAGTTGACGAAGTGCATAAAAGTTTGCATAAAGATCTGCCGTGAAGACGCTAGTCTCTGGGGGCAGGCAACACATATAGGTGTGGTCAGGAAACACAACAGAGTAGCCCACACCGTCAGCAGACTTAGACCCGTCGGTGAAGACGGAGACGGAGCGGAAGTGTGAAGAAAAGTGAGCAAGGAAAAGGCGTTTCAGAACTGTAGGAGGAGTAAAAGACTACCGTGTGGGTCATCAAGGTCTTGCAGAACTTTCCAAGGGGAACCCCTCCATGGAGGCAAAGATGGAACGACACGAGGAGAGATATTGCTAACATGATCTGAGAGAGAATCTTGCAATCTTGCAAGCGAAACAACCTTACTAAAAGGGAAGGTGGTGAAAGGGAACAGGGTCCACAGGAGGGGCGCCGGTGATCCTGTAGAGACAGGACGCCGGTGTCAATATAGAGGCTCAGGGAGGGGGTCGACGGGCAGGCACCACAGCTGAGGCGTCGTAACCCAGTGTGGTGCAGAGCGTCAAGACGCCAGAGGTGAGGGAGAGGCGGCCGAGGAGGAGGAGGAGGAGGCGGGACAGCCATAATCAAGTTTAGACACCAGGAGAGAGGAGTGTAGACAGAGGAGTACGAGGAATAGGACGGAGAGCAGCTTTAAACAAGTCGTGGTGAACAAGGGAGAGAGAGCGCTTGAGGGAGAGAACAGGGGACGAGAATGGAAAGAGGAGAAGAAGAGAAGGAAAACGTAGATCAGAAGATAGAGGTTAGGGAGGACTGATGAAGACGGGCGATGGGGCTGACTCACCTGACAGAAGACCTTCCTGGCCAGGTCTGCCGAGAAGCTGGCGATGAAGATCCTACAGTCCCGCTCCTGAGGGAGAGACACGCACTGTTACCCACCGGCATCTGTTGTTGTTTTTGGGGGGGGGGGGGAGACCAGATGGGGTGGACGGAAGCGCCACGGCCTGGCTTCATGCAGGTCAGCGTTCCATCCTCGACCGTCTACAAGTGGTTGGGCACCATTCCTTTCCCCCCGTCCCATCCCAAATCCTTATCCTAACCCCTTCCAAGTGCTATATATATTCGTAACGGCCATTATGAATATATAGCGTCGTCCCTTCCCTTTCCGGGGCGACGACGATCGTGGGAGCGGACGCACACCTGCGCACCCGTGAAGGATTAATCACGCTGCCTAATAGCGAACTTAATATCGCTTATCAGTTGAAACTATTGTGCCTCGCGACCAATAAACACACAGATGAGCAGATGATTGGGAAGCCCCAGGAGTCCCCCAGGGTGACCAGCACCGGCCCCGCCTCTCCTCGAGCACAACTAGGTGGGTACAATAAATAGACACTGCACTAGACTACACAATAAACGAGATAAACACGATACACTTTGCAGCCTTTGAAGATATTGAAATTACCAGAGATGAGGTTAGGAGGTATCTGCT